TCAGCAATGAGAGAAAAGTAACCAAGACACCATCCACCCCTTCTTTGAATGTTATGAATTTTTTCTGGTAACAGCTCTATTAAGACATAATTCATGCAGCCTAAGACTCTGCCTGTCTCTCTCTTTCTCTCTGGCAGTGCTGGGGATTGAACCCTGGGCCTCGTGCATGATAGACAAGTGCTTCACCCATGAGCTTTACCATCAGCTCCCAAACTCACTCTTTTAAAGTCTCAGATTCAGTGGTTTCCGTATATTCACAGAATTCTGCAGTCATCACCCAATCTAATTTTGGAACACTTTCATCATCCAAGCGGAAGCCCTGTGCTCATTAGCCGTCACGCCTTCTTTCACCCCTGCCCCCAGCAGCCACGAATTGGCTTTCTGTCCCCTAGAGATTTGCCTCTTCTGGACAGTCCATATAAATGGGATCATATCACATGGATTATGAAGCTTTAATGAAGACAAATCAAAACCAATTTCCAACCCTGCTGAGACAGTGAGTCAGGCTAACGGCAAGCACAGCCGGGAAAGCTCCGGACAAGGACTCAATGTCCCTACTCCTCGAGTGCTGGTTTTGCCCCTCACCAGCCTCAGTACGAAGTCACCCCGAGACCACCCCTGCCTGGGGTATGGCTCCCTTACCTGAAAAAGCCACAAAGGGCTCTTCAGAGTCTGAAAGTCTATCATTTTGCACTAAAAAAAAAGGTGGCAAATAGGCTTATCTCACTCGATAAAGCAAGCACCAAGCAAGTATATTTTCCATGGTAAAGGGTCACATCCCACGGTGTGGCTGTGCCCTGCAGCCTGGTAGGCTCAGCAGCTGCTGTCGGAGGAGCAGTTAATTTCCTACCTTCTGACAGAACCTGGTGGTGAGACCGTCCTCTGCTGACTCGGCAAATTCTGTCCAAGGAAGCTTCTCTCTTGTACAGAAAGCAAATGGCATATCTGCAAAGGGGATAAAGGTCAGATTCTTATCACACGCAGCCTGAGGGGTGCTCTTGGGTCCAGCGGCAGGAGATCACCATGGGGACGGGGAGATATCTTCAGAAATGAGAAAAGGCACTCACAGAATGATGCTACAAGAAGTCTAGCAACTGCTGGATGTGTCCAAGAATAAATGCATTATTGTTCCCATGATTTCTTGCTATTCTTACTAGGAAATTTCACGAAACCCACTGGGTCTTCTTTTTGCCTTTGGGTTGGAGGGTGTGTGTGTGTGTGTGTGTGTGTGTGTGTGTGTGTGTGTGTGTATACGCGCGCACACGCTCTGGGGACTGAGCCCCAGACCCAGCACATGTTAGTTAAATACTCTATCACTCTGCTACATCCTCAGCCCTAAACACATTGTTTTGCTGTTTTTTTCAAACAGTACATATACACGTAGGAGGTGTTTGTTATCCCCACACAAACTGCGTTCAAAATGGCAGTTTCCTATTTGGCGGGGGCAGGAAGGAACACTCTGGGGGAGTACTAAAACCTTTGGCTGTGTAATGTTGTACTAGAGTTCCAGCCACGCCTGGAATACCTGCGGTGCATGGTGTTATCTTTAATATCTCCCAGTATTCTGTGTGAAGCGGTATCTCACTGTATTTAAGAGTCTCCCTTGGGCTGCGGAGGTAGCTCAGGGAGTGGTGTAACACTTGCTTAGCATGCATAGGTGCTGAGTTCAATCATCAGCCTAAAAAAAAAAGCAAAACCAAACACACACTCACTCCTTCTCTCTCTCTCTCTCTCTCTTTCTCTTTCACAGTCTCACCCTTATCCCTAATAAGGTCGAGTACTTTATTACATGTTCCCTGGCCATTTTGGATTCATCTTCTGTGGGCTCTGGTTTATACCCTTTGCCCATTTCCTACTGGGTTGTTTGGCGTTTTTTTCCTGGAGTACAGAGTTTCCTGTGGCCAACTCAGCATAGTTTTTTAGTTCTGCTCCCTCACATGAACCCACATCTTCTGGAGAGATTAGCCTAATGGAAGTTTCTAGATGTCTGCTATCATTCCACAGGCTCTGAACCAGCCAACTTGCAAGGAGCGTTCACAGGAGACTTCATGATGTGGTTGGGTGGTGTCTGGCTGGCCTTGGCATGAGGTTTGTCCCCCATTCAGGGGTCACGATGGTAGTCATTTCCCAAACATGGTGTAGTAAGACCCACAAAGCAGTTGTGATTCTCTTCACACAGAAAGAAGAGAAGCTGTGGCTTCCTAAATCCTTCCAGTTCTTCAAAGCTGCGTCCTAAGACTGGGTAAAAGCGAGCACATCACCAGGGCATCTCCAGGCTCTCAGCTACCCAAGCAAGTTACAGGTGCTGCCAGCAACAGCCCCCAGGGATTTGGTATCAGGCTCAAAAGTCCTTAGGGTCCCTCTGGTGAAGATGGATGAACTATTTTAAGGAAGTCAACAAAAATCTGTTGATAACAAAAATGTTCCTTAATGGCCATTAATTCTCAGCTTTTAGAGCATTAGGAATGACTCAAGCGCCCCCAGAGAATAACATCTACCATGATGATTTCATTTCAAGTGGATAAGGGTCCAAATTTCTGTTTCCATTTTAATAGGTTCTTTTCCTGTTTACACAAATACTCCAACATAGACTTTCAAAAGGAGAGTGTGGGATGGAGCTTGTGGGGCGGCCAGGAACTGCAAAGTCCTAACTTTAGTATTTGAACTGGAAGGGAAGGGGTTCCCATACTCGTGGGCCCAACGCGGAGTAAAGCTCTTGGCTCAGACCTGGCCTTGGCAACTCCCAGCGTTCAGTAAAAGAGGCAAATTATGACCTAGGATGGCTATCCTGGTAGGACAGAGTGCTCAGCTCCACCTGGGGGAGTTTCCCAGGGCCCCACCAAGAAGGTGGTGTAGGTACCCAGTCTTGATAGACGAGCAGGAAGGGCAGGAGTTGGTTAAGCCATCCAATAAGAACTTTTAGCGCCTGTCATGCACCAGGGGTTGTGGTAGCCGTGACAAGTAGGACGGGGGGTGGGGTGGGTAGCGATGGGCAAAACAAACAAGTTAACCCAGGCACCGGCCTCCTGGAGTTTACCGTTTGATGGAGGCAGCGGACAGATGAAGAGTCACACAAACAAGAGTGAGGACAAACATAACAAGACATGGGAAAAACAACACAAATATCACCATGCCGGACCCTTGTTCTCTTTCCTGTCTTGGCCAGAGGTAGAATCCCCTCTGGGGAATCTGACCAGCCTGAAGGGAATGATCCAGAGATACTAATATTGGGATTACCTGAGGGTTACCCCTAAATCGGATCATCCTGTAACGGAGCTCAGTGCATGAGCCCCTTGCACAAACTCAGAGCTCACAATCAGCTTTTTAATCCTCAGTTCTTAAAATATGAGCAGATAATCATAAGGATCAATTTGGAATCAGTAGGGATGGCCAAAGGAACAAAATTTTACTTAATATTAGCATCTTTAGAAATAAGAGAAGATATTGCAATGATGATAAAAGAACAAGATGTGATAAAACAGGGGCCTTTGGCAAAAGAACACTTGTAAATTCAAAACATGACAGCAGAAATGAAAGAATAAAGAAAAGGCTTAAATGACAAATTGGATGAAATTGAGTAATACAAAGAGGTGTAGGAGGAAATGCATAAGAAAACTAGGGAAGTAGTCCAGCATTCCAACTTCTTCTTTTTTTTTTTTTTTGGTATCAGGAATCAAACTCAGGACCTTGCACTTGCTAGGCAAGCGCTTGTGCTGCAAAGCTATATCCTCAGTCCCAACATCTTAACAGTAGAAAAATCAGGAAGAGAGGAGAGAAAAAAAGGAATTAGTGTGAAATAAAAACTAGAGGAGGCCATCGTTTTGGACTAAGGTCCTCCACTGGGCCTCCCCAAAAAACAGACTAAAAATCAAGGTGATATCACTCATGCTAAAGTTCTGTGTTACCAAACAGAAACCAAGTTGTTACGTGACCTTAGGAAAGAGAAATGATAACCAAATCTCCCAAACAGGCCAGTTTCAACTAGCATGACAATGTCATTCCATCTGCTTTAATAATTGCCAAAGAAGAAACTGGGGCCGGGGATATAGCTCAGTGGCATAAGCACCTGCCGGGCAAGTACAAGGTCCTGAGTTCAATTCCCAGTACCAAAAAAAAAAAAAACCAAAACAAACAAAAAAAAACAACTGGATGTCAACCAATCAGTTATTTTTCTAATATTCTGTCTCACTGACCCCACTTTACAAGAAAGGAAACTCTGAAACAACCAATCCTGTCTCAGTTCTGTTCCTACTTAGTTTACACTTTCTCAGTCTGTGAAGCCAACCTCTTTGGCTCAGCTCAGTGGAACACTTATTTGATAGAAAAAGCTTTCTTGATTCTAGAGTCACAAATAAAGCCAAGTAAAACTTCAACTAATTTGGTTTTGTCTTTTGACACAGAAAAGAACTAATGAAATAAAACAAGGACATCTAGACCTACAAAATCTGTTTCTAGAGTGAATGGACGGTGTGAGAATAACAGGGTAGAAAAGGGCACACAATAGGACAGCACTATGAAAGGGGCACACAGTAGGACTGTGAAAGGGGTACACAGTAGGACAGCATGATGAAATTGCAGAGTATCAGCAAAAACAGAAGATCCTATAAACTTTTACAGAAAAGCAAATCACAGACAATGATGGCTCATAAATCTACTGGTTTGGGGCTGGTCAATAACTCAAAGCTTGAAGACCCTAGGGCAACGAGTGCACATTTCTCAAGGAAAATTTCTCAAGGAAATCTAAACCAGAATTTGATACCAATCCAAGCTACCAAGCAAGTTGTAGAGATACATATCGGATTCACAAGGTCTCAAAATATTTACTGCGCTAAGGGTATAAACCCAGAAAGGAAGGGACAGAAACCCCGGAGGAGGACGGAAGGGAGAGCCTTGGATGACAGCTGTGTGGCCAGCAGAGGGGGCAACTAATCCCAGGAGGCATAGTGAGAAGGCTCTGGAGCAGACTGCTTCTCCGAGATGAACTGACTGACTGCTCGATGAGTCTAAACAGGTTGAGGAAACTGCCTGAAAGTGAGGGCTGGCCTAGCGGCAAGTATGTAGATAGAGCAAAAAGCAAACTGCAGGGGAAACAGAAAATGATTCCAGAAAAGACATCAACATTGACAAAATGGCTTGGCAGAGACTGGACGTGCTAGAACAAGAACACACGTGTGGAGCAGCAGCATAAGGCCCAAAGGACCAGCACTGACTTCTTTCATGGTGACAAGTCAACAGATGATGCAAAATTGAAATAGCAGGAAACAACAGCAGAAACAAAGGTACATTCCAGCTAGATGTAATGGTATGTGCCTATAATCCCCACAACTCTGGAGGCTGAGGCAGGAGGATAGCAAGTTCAAGGCCAATTGTGCAACTTACAGACTCTGCCTCAAACTAAAACATTTCTGAAAGGGGGTTTGGAGTGTAGCTTTGTGTAAAGGGTCTGCGTTCAATTCTCAGCACCACAAAGAAAAAAAAAAAAAGTAAATTCCAAAGGAATCAGTTAACTGTTAAAAGTTTGCCTCTGAGGAAAACAGGTACTTTGGTAACAGACCTTGGAGATCAATGTTGATTCTAAACCATACACACATGTAACCTCGATAGAAACTTTAACAGATAACAAAGAAAAAGTATGTGGCACCAGGAACGTATATAGCAGAGAGCTCAACTTTAGAAGGGGAAGTTGGCCAGCTGGCTCTGAGGTGAGGTCTGAAGCGTAGCTGGGTGAGGAGGCCAAAAGCAAATGTTGCCAAGAGCCGACTGGGAGGTAATTAATTATAAAGGCTGAGCAGGGCTGGGGGCGGAGCTCCGCGCTAGAGCATGAACTTAGCACACACAGGCCCTCGGTTTGATCTCCAGCGCTGCACCCTGCCTCCCGCCCCCACCAGGGGAAAAAAAAAAAAAAAATGCAAAGCTGAGGTGAGACTGCTAGTGCCTTAGGCCGGGGCAATGATACAGGGAATGGGAGGTGTGCAATGCACTCAGAAAGATGTGGGAGGCAGAATCAAAAGGACCAAGTGACAGAGTGGGCTGCAGAGAGGGAGGCGGGCCAGGGTTTTCCGTGTTGTTGACAAATAGCCTTTGTGTGGGTGAGAAAAGAAAGGACAAATTTTTAAAGTTAGGTAGCAGACACTGGTGACAATGTGGAGGGAAGACACAAGTGCTTAAACAAAGGCGGCTGAGAAAGCGCCACAAAACAGACTTACTCCACGCTTCCTGGAAACAAATGATATTGACTCCGCACATGGCAGCCACCTCGACAATGGCCTCTATGCGTCTGTGGACGGTAGAGACCTGAGGATTTGAAAAGTGAGGATTAGAACCCATTCACCTCTATTAGTGAGACAGTTTTTAAGTTCATCCCAACATACGTGGAACAATAAACTCCCACCTGACCAGGGGCAAACAGGCTGGAGAGGCTCTGATACCTGGTTCTCTCATCAGACCAAACTCTGCGAGACTAGGTGGAGGCACAGCAGCTCCGGAGGTACCTGGACACCACCTCCACTTCCTCACCTGGCAACGGGGAAACCACCACCTGCCTAGTAGGGTTGCTGAGGTGTCGGGGAGGACAGCTCTGCTTACCGGACGCAGGGTGTGCTAGCACACACATGCTCACACAGTCGCCCCCAGAACTTGCTGCTCCCTCAGCTGGCACAGCCCACCTGGCACCGTCCTGCACTGGAGCTGTTTTGCCTGCCCTGTCTGGCCACTTCCACTGTCCTGCACGAATCCTATCTGCCAACGACTCATCCTTTCGGCTCTAACTCTTCCCATATTGGACTGTGGCACTGGGCGGGAATGTGCCTCTCCCCACATCCAGCCACCCTGCAGGTGTGAGACCTGTCTCCTGACCCCTCTGGGAGCCCTCAGCAGACTCTCCCAGTGTCCTTTGGCGGTCCCTACGGCACACTATTCCCCTTGTGTTGCTACTGGTTCCCGGCTGCCTGTCACTCTCAAGACCCCACAGGCTCCCTAGGTGCAGGAAGAAAGCATCCTTGTCTCTGGGTCCTCAGCACAAAGTCTGGCTCACAGGAGACACTCAGAAGTGACTCTTTGAAGGTAGACTAAAGGCATCAGGCTGGAAACCCAGAGAGAGGCCAAACCTTCTCCAATGCTCTTCCCAAGAGGCCGTGCACTCCAGGCTCCACGAATATTTGCTGCCAGCGTCAGCCATGTGAACACACACTTGCTCAAGCTGGCAATGTGCGGTGCATCTCCAGGCGCTGAGGCCGCGGGGAGGATGACAGCTCCGAGTGGTAGAGGGGCACGTTCACAAATGACAATTCCAGAGAGAAAAGTAAACAGAAGCAGACATCTCTATGGGGCTGGGTGGGTGGGAATGCTGGGTACTGAAAGCGGGGTCTCACGCATGCCTGCCACTGAGCTACAGCCCCAAGCTCCAGACAAACTTCAGTCCAACAAAAGCAAAAGAGGGACCAACAGGAAAGATGACAAGGAACCAGCTCTGGAACCCAAGGGGCCTCAGATTTCTCAAGAACCCCTTATAAGTCTACAGTATTCAGGGAAAGCTGTAGAGAAAGCCACCAAACTTTGAGGAGCTGGAGGAATGTGATGAAGGAATATATAAAACAAACACACTGACGGCATGTAGCTTTATGTAAATACAAAATGCTGTCACATTTATTTACTAACTGAAAGGTCAGAAGTGAACGTCTGTCATATTTCTGTCAACTGAAAGCAGCATCAGCTGACAGCCTTTTTGGTAGAATGCATCTCTACCCTCAGAATTAAGGCAGAGGCATGTGGGACAGTCCTGTGGCAGGCTGCCTTCTGGAAGGCAACTGAGAGGCAGTGCCGTGTGCAAACAGCTTGAGTCGGACGAAAGGGTGCTCTCCGTGTTGGTCAGTGGAACTCTGGATTAGCACAGTGACAGGAATTTGGAAGGGAAGGTGGAAAGAACAGTAGGGCTGACAGGAAGACAGAGCAAGGGTGCACGCAGGAGAGGGAGAAGCAAGTTGGTGATGTAGCTCAGTGGTAGAGCGCTGACCTAATGCATGCAAGACTTCGGGCTCAGTCCCCAGTAGGGGATTGGGAATCTCCCCAGCAAAGCAAAGTACATTGAGCCAGGCACTGTGGTGCTCTTAATTCCAGCATTTAGGAGGCCAAGGCAGGGCGATCACTGTGGGTTCAAGGCCAGCCTGGCCTACACAGCAAGATCTTGTCTCAAAAAACCAAAACCACCAAGCAGACAAACAAATACAACAACAAAACAGAAGAGTGTGAGAAAAAAAAAGAGCCAAGTACACAGGCTAGAGAAAAGTAGGGAAGCCAGGGCAGAAGTGTCTCGGTTGCCCTTTGAGGTGGGACCTGAGGGATTGTGGTGTGTGTCAGCCAGGGTTGTGATGTGTCTAAAACAAAAGGCGAGCCAGTTCCCCTTTTATGTATTCGTGGTCAAGAGAGGCAGCACCTGTTCTGCCACGGGCGCGTTCGTGGAGAGCGGGGTTTTGTTCTGCACCAGCCCCACTCGCACGAGCTGGGGGCATCTCCTCTGCTCCTCCGCTGCCTCAAAGGCATATCCCTGCAGTTCAAAGTCGCCTTGGCAGGCAGCTTCCAGCGCTCTCCTGGGCAGATCGAGCGTCCTAAATGGGCAGGAAAGAAGAAGGAAGAGGATGTCAGTGAGATTTGCTGCCTTTAAGATCCACCCCCAGAATAATGCTCAGAAAAATAAAAATCCCCCACATGCCCTTTGTAATCATTCATCAGGTAAAGAAGAGAGGCGGGGGCACCCCACTGCCAGTCAGAGGGGTCAGGGAACATCTGTGAGTGCATACTATACTGAGCCCGGACTTTGTCTGTGGTCAAGAGGAGGATTTCAGGGAGGTGGTGTGGTTAGGCTTGGCAATGAGGGGGAGTGCGACCAGTCAAGAGGTCAGTGTTTTGGAGTTATTGAGATCAGGGCAGAGATTAAAGTCCCAGTAGTCAGCAGAGAAGAGAGAATCAGTTCCAAAAAAATATTTCTGAACCAGAATCACAGAGCAGTGCGAAGCCTACGAAATGAGGTGGGCTGGGGTAACAGAGACAGGCTCTGGAGAGTGCAACTCAGGAGATGGGTGGGATGGAGGCCAAGCACTGAGACCGTGAGAGGACCCTGTGGCCATTCACCCTGAGGTGAGCGAGTCCCCAGGGATTTATCTTCTGTGGCCTCCATGGCATGTGTGTGCATGCATGTGTATGTCCTATATCTGGTACTGGATGGGCTTGCTGTGGTGTAGGTGTCCAGACCAAAGTCCCAAGTGCCCATCCGAGTTCATGATTTATTAACAAAGGCCACAGGGTTATTTATAAAACCTCCCACTAAGGTGACCATGGGTAGGGCAGCCACGCCTCTGGATACCTGTTGCAACACGGTTCACGGCCCCAGGCCAGGAAGGCCTCACCATCTAAGGGTGAGATGATTATGAAATACCCAGAGAACACATCAAAAATAACCTGACAGCCATTATCTAATAATAATATTTCTCTCCTACTTCAAATCGCTTTCTTAAAGACATTTCTTTCAAAATCACAGCCCTGTCAGCCTAAGCCCCCTGTCGCCGCCCCCTGCCAGGTACTTTCCGTGTGACGGCCCTGACAGCTCCGAGTTCGGTTCCGCCCCTGACAATCAGCCTGCTTTTCAAATAGGTTCCCATCCCTCTGGCAGGTTAGAAATAGCAGCAGTGCCCACACCTCGCCTCCCTTCCTTCCTTGCTGTGACTGCTCACACAGCCCTTGCCCCCTCGTCCAGAAGGCCCCTCTCCAGGCCTCAGCTCCAGGGCAAGTCCTCCCTGGTGGACAGTTATGAAGCTCTCCTGGAGCTCTAAGCAGAGGATGCACAGGCAGTCCAGGAAGAAAGAAAGGTTCTGTGCGTGTTTCCCAAAGGCTGGTGGCCCAGGAGCCAGGTGGCACCCTGGAAGCTGTCTTTTTGTCTCAGTCCTGGAAGAGGTCAAGGCGGGACCAGCCTGGCTACAAGCATCACCTGGAAGATCTCTCCCCAGTGCATCTAGGGCCCACAGCTGTTCTCTCTCTGTCTTTCCATTTATCAGCCCTGTTACTCTGCAATCTCATCTACTTCTTCATCCTCTGTCTATGCTGAGTGCGGCCTTCATCCTGCTTGGCCGAGGCTGTGCACCCCTTCATTCCCAGTACCCCGCGGACCTCATTCTCCTAGGCCTGAGGTGAGGCAGGCCAGGCTTCACTCTAATGAACTGAATGTTTCTTCTTACCTCCCAAATCACATATTGAAATACAAGGCGATGGGGTCCTTGCATGAGATTAGGTTGTATGGATGGGGCTCTCATGCATGAGATTAAGGACCTTTTGAAAGAGGGCTGCTATCTAGGCACAGTGACTAATGTGTCTAATCCAAGCACTATGGGAGACTAAGGCAGGAGGATCACAGGCCGGTTTAAACTCAGCCTGGGCAATTTAATAAGACCCTGCCTCATAATTTAAAAATTAAAGAAGGGATGAAGGTATAGATCATTGTGAAGGCCCTGAGTTCGGTCCCCTGGCCCCCTCAAAGAGTCCTGCTAGGCAGGGCGGTGCATGCCTGTAATCCCAGCTACTTGGGAGGCTGGCTTGAGGCCAGTATAAATAATTGAGAGCTGGGGATGTAGCTCAGTGGTAGCAAACTTACCTAGCATGCCTGAGCCCCTAGGTTCAAACCCCAACACTGCAAAAATAAACATATACTATATACACACAAATAAATACAACAGAGGCCTGAAGGAGATTGCTTGCTCTTGCACCATGTATGGGGACACAGCAAGAAGTCACCATCTAGGAAGTAGGATATGGACCCCTGCGAGACACTGAACCTGCAAGTGCCTCCATTGTGCACTTTTGAGTCTCCAGAATGGTGGGGAACACATTTCAGGGGTTGAAAACCCACCCAGCCTGTGGTACCTTGTTGTAGCAGCATGGAAGGACTAAGATGGACACTGAGCCAGGAAGGAGACACAAAGAAGCCACAACTTACAAGGTGGTCTTCGTGCAAGCCTGTGGCCCTCCTGTGATTCCTGTAGTTGACTTCAGCTGCTCTACCACTGCCCCTGCTCCTGAAGACCCATCCCTCCTGGCCTTATCTCCAACCTCAAGGAGGAAAACCCGTTACTTCCTGCCCTGGCTGCAAGGCACTGGTCTCTCCCTCCTCCCTCTAGGGTCAGGGCAGATCTGGTCCAAGAGCCCTAAGCTTCTGCTTCCTCAGCAACCACTCACTCCTGGAACTTCATCTTTCTCCCACTATTGGCTCTTTACCATCAGCACTTTCAGTCATTAAACTAGAGCTTTGTTGTAAAAGAAACATGCTCACGGGAGGGGCGTTACACAAGTAGAAAGGGTATAAAATGAAAAATAAGTTCCGCCGGAGGCTCCAGACCCAAACTTTAGAGATGGTCCCTCTTAACGATGTTTAGTGTATTCTTCAAGTTTTCTATAGAAGTCCAGGTGTTACAGATATAGTGGTATCAGCCTCTATTTTCTGTTCTTCGACTGGCCTTTTTCACATGGCAATATACAATCACGCTGCCAGGTGTGGTGGCGCACACCTGTAATTCCAGCATTCTAGGAGGCTAAGGCTGGAGATTGCAACTTTGAGCTCAGCTTGGGCAACTAAGCAAAGTAGCAGGACCCCATTTCAAAAATTTAAGTGGAAAGGCATTGGGCTCAATCCTCAGTACTTAAAAAAAAAAAATTAAGTGGAGCTGAAGAGTGACATGACATCATCACTGTCATGACACTGTAGTACAACACAGCACTCATGTTTGTGCTGACGCTGGTGTAAAGAAACTACGGGACTGCACTGTATAAAAGTATACACCAATACACTGATGTACAGTACATAATGCTTGACAACAGTTGACAACTGTTACTGATTTCTGCATGTACTGTATTTTTATTAATGTGTACCTTCTCTACTTACAGAAAAAGTTAACGTAAAACAATATACTCTATCATACCAGCAGCAGCCTCATAAATCTCACGTTTCCTATACCCCGATTGCTTTGAAGCGGCCACATCAAAGGGCTGGGGTGTAGCTCAGGGACAGAGCATTTTCCTAGTATGCGGGATTCCTAGTACTGCAAGAAGATGAGAAGATGCCACACCAAGCAACTGACCTGTGCCACACAAGTTTGCGTAAGCTTGGCTCTGTGATGTTTGCATAGCCTCCGAATCACTTAAGGATGCATTTCTCAGAACACATCCCCATCATTAAGTGACATGTGGCTAGACACTTTGGACATCCCTCTGCCGGCCAGCACACACAGGCCTACGAGATCTGCCATTAATGCTGTCTGAGTGTCTCCCATTAACATACACACAGGTGGGTGAGAGCAAGAGCTCTGCATACCTCCCTCTTGCTCCATGTTCACAGGGAGCTTCCACACGCACTTCCCCTCGGCTCAGCTGTCCCCCTGCCCCTTCTCTGCGCATTCTCTGGCTCCCATTCCCCTCCTGCCTTTCCATCACTTAAGCCAGAACTGCCCTCACCTGGTATCTCTGTAGCACCTGACCCTTTCTCCTGCCCACTTTGAAGTCCTATCACCACATATCCTCAGCTATAGAGCCTGCGCTTTCCCTCACCCTTACAGCACCTAGGTTCTCCAGAATTCCCTCTGGGCCCCGCCCACGTTACAGCTGCTTCTCCTCCACCTGGGATGGCCATCTGCAGCCCAGCTCCCCCGGCAGGCCAGAGCCACACTGCAAAGAGCCATGTCTACCTACAGATCACCCAAGGGTACCTGTAGGGGGCTGAAGTGTGTCCACATTCTAATACCTAAAAACTATGAATGTGACCTTATTTGGAAAGAGGATCTCCACAGATTAATTAAGGTAAGGACTTCAAGTTCATGTCAGCCTGCGTTATCCGGGTAAGCCCTAGCTCCAATGACAAGAATTCTTACAAGAGATACCCAGAGGAGAGACACAGGGACAGTAGGAGAAGGGCATGTGAAGACAAAGCCAAATCCCACTGCCACAAGCCGAACTACATCAGAGCCTAGAAAAGGCAAAAAAAGGTCATCCTGCAGAGGATCTGGAAGGAGCGTGGCCCTGGAGACACCTTGGACTTGAACTTCTGGCTTTTAGAACTGTGCGAATAAATTTCTACTGTTTTAATCTGCTCAGTTTGTGGTAACTGTAGCAGCTTTAGGAACCAAAAAGCACCCAAACCCAGTATCAACCTTCTCCAGGGACGACCCCACCAGTCACCTTGTGGGTCCAAGCCAGAGGGTGGGCACAGCCCTCACAGCTTACACTACCCACTGTCCACTGACCTCCCCGGGGCCTCTGGGCTCCTGCTGTGTCTCCCCCGCAGGCGACTCATCCTTCACCTGCTCTTTTCTAGTTCATTTCTGACACAACTAAAAAGCATGATTCATAAAAGGCTCCCAGCATGGTAAGAATGACGCTCTACTACAGCAGTATGGCACAGAGCCCTCAGGATCCACCCTGGCTACTCCTGCCTTCTCCTCCCTTGGGCATTGCCCATGCCACCCTATGACAATGTGCAGTCCGCTCTCTCGCACAGCGTCCCTCAATGCCATACCCCTGATGTCAGAGGCACAAGCCTTTCTTGCCTCCGAATAAACTTCGCTGTCTCCTTTAGGGTGCAGCTCAAGCGCAGCCTGCCTGGGAAGCCTTCCTGACCGCCCTGAACTCTAAACATGTAAACTCTCTTAGGCTCTGCCTGCATCCTTCTCTCACGATGTAAGACAACTATCAAAAGATGGAAAGCAGGGCTGGAGGTGCGGCTCCGGGTTACAGCACTTGTGGGAAGCCCTGGGTTCAGTTCCAGGGCTGAAAACAAAACAAACAAAACCCAAACAAAACCCAAACAAACGAACAGCCTAGGGGCAGGATCGTGGTTTACTTATCCAAGTATCCCTGGTGCCCAAGACAAAAGTAAGTTACCTAGCCAGGCATGGTGGCGCACAGGTGTAATCTCAGCACTGGGGACGCTGAGGCAGGAGCATCACTGTAAATTCAAGGCCAGCCTGAATTGCACAGGGAAACCCTGTCTGTTATGGTTGATACATTGTGTCAACCTGGGGAGTCTAGAAGCTTGCCTAAGCAGCTCAGCAGTTCTGCCTCCTGGGGTGAAAAGGACATGCCCTTCCTGTTCTAGGATGTGTTCATTGTGTCAACTTGAGAAGTTTAGAAAGTTAATAACTAAGTCACTGAGCAGGGGGCCAGGGTGCTTACTTTGTATTCATCCTGAGCCTCCTATGCAGCAGGAGGGACTGGAGATTATGTGAGTGCTACCACCCCCAGGTGGGGGTAGCCTGCTTATAATATAAGGGAGGAAAAGAGGCTTGTTTCCCCCCTCACCTTTGGTTCGTGCTGCTTTTGCTGTGTTGTGCTGCCGTGAAGTATTGCTCCTGTGCCCTGCTACCCTGCCTTGGAGCCAGCTGATTATAGACTGAAACCTCCACAAACTGTAAACTGAATAAACCTTTCCTTCCTTAATTTCGAGCGTTGGGTATTTTGTCCCAGCAGCGAGAGAAAAGTAACAGAGACGCTGTCTCAAAAAAAAGGGATCACCAAATGTTCATTGAATGAATGACTGCGTCTTGGTTCTGGCCATCTTAGAAACTGACAGTTAAGGTTCCCTGGGGCTTCCATCAGGCTGGCACAGGGCCACCTGGCTCCTTCATTTAGCAAACATCCACTAAGCATTGCTGTGTGGGCAGAGGAAGTAATCCAGAGCAACGTCAGTCGTGTGTGAAGCACAGAGGGAGCCCAGACAGGGACTGAGGACTTCAGGCCCTCACGGCCGTATCCAGATTGGACTCTGAGAAACAGACAGGAGTTTAACTGGGAGGTCATTTAAGTAACAATAAGAATTCATTTTCTCGCTTCAGTTGGGTATCCTGAGCAAGTACAGAGGTTTGCACTTTCGAGATAAAGGCTGCAAAGGCTACATACTGAGTGGAAGAGAATCAAGGAAAGAGGGTAGAAAAAGGGGAGACACTTGTTCTGTTATTGCAAGCCGTGCCCCAGGGGACTGGCAATCACTGGTCAACAGATGCTGGCGAGTGTTTTACCGCCCACTATAATGTCTCCCCATCCTGGAGTTCTCCAAATGCTAATAAAAATCCCTCTCCCACGGCTGACCTTGGCCCTTCTCCAGAATGTGCCCCAGGCAGTCTTACATGGGAAACTTATTTCTCTTTTCCTAGCATTTGATCTTAGCCAAAAGGCCAAGAAGCGATTATTATTTCTCTTTTCCTAGCACTTTTTGGCTTTGCCTTTTCCTGACACCATGATCTTGCTCTGTCTTTTTTCCAGAACGTGCTCTCTTCACCCTTAAACTAATTCCAGCGCTAGAAACTGTAGCTTGAGCTGCCGCTTGCTTAAGACATCTTTGGGAAAAAGCTCAACTCCAAGGTATTTCCCAGGTGACTGGTCTTCAAGGTACAGTGGCAACTAGAATACAGCCTGGGCCCTTTGGGCAGGCCTTGAAGGCTGTCTAGCTTCTCTTTGTTTTTTGGTTTTGTTTTTTTTGTTTGTTTGTTTGTTTTTGTTTTTCTCCGGTACCAGGAACCGAACTCACGACCTTGCGCTTGCCAGGCAGGCGCTTTGCTGCTGAGCTAAATCCCCAGCCCTTGAAGGCTATCTAGCTTCTCTTTGGATATGAAAAAAAAAAACCTTTTCTGACAAATCCCAAAGGCAGCTATTCTACCTTTACCATCCACTAGCTGTGCAACTTCCTCAGAAGCCAGGTGCAATGGCGAACACCTGCAACCTCAGCACTGAGGGAGGCTGAGACAGGAGGATCACAAACTCAAGTCCTGATCCTCCTGAGACAGGAGGATCACAAGTTCAGGGCAACTTACGGAGGTGTGTCTCAAAATAAAAATGGGGAAAGGGTTGGGGCTGTCACTCAGCGGTAGAGCACCCCTGGGTTCTATTCTCAGTACCACCACCACCACCCACACACACAAAAATCCATGGGTCAGGCCTCCCTGCAGGAAGTCCACAGTGGCTGGAACCACTGATTCAGTCAGTTACAGTTGAGCTGATCAAGTTGCTGCTGAAAGGTTACCAGCACAACGTCCTGGAGCAGGCAGTCAAGCTGGATCGGTGTGGCAGGAATTTTAACCAGGAGCTGCTCTAGATCAGAGTTTGCACTTTATTGTAAGCGCCCAGGAAATCCCTCGCACAAAGCAAATGAGTAACCCGGTGTGGTTTACACTTTAAAGAGATCCTTCTGAAAAAAAAAAAAAAAAAAAAAAAAAAAAAAAAGAGAGATCCTTCTGGTGGCCGCAGAGAAGAATGGCCTAAGAAATAGGAGCAGAAGGTGAAGGGTCTTTTCCAGCCTTGTATACCCACTGTCCCTCTGAAAGTCCTCCTGATGCAAATACGACTTCCTAGAGGTGGAAAAACATTTGCACTGAGCTTGGTAGCTAATTCCCCGAGCTTGTGGGTGGCTAGGTTTCCTCTGCCAGTTAGATTCACATTCGGCGGCCCCTACCTCCAAGCCCCACAGTCACGGCAGCAAGTGAGGAGGGGCTGGGACGGGATAAGTAAGGACACCCGCTAGGGGATCTCTGGTCGGTAGCTCTAACCTGGCCAGACACCCCCGGTGCAGGCCCAGCTCTGGGTGGAAGTCGGTCCCTCAAAGTGAGGAGAAGAGCTGTGGTGGCCACAGACGTCTCTGCAGAGTAAAACTCCCTCTCTCTCCCAGTTCTGGGCAGCGTGTGTGAGAATGACTTGTAACCCGCCCTCCACCCTCCTCCGCGCCCCCCCCCCGCCCTGCTGTCACCTCTAGACTTCCCACGGCCCCTGCTTGCTTATCCTAGACTCAAATCACCATTCCCTCAGAACCCTCCAGACCCTGAAGTCCTCCCCTGGTCCCTGGTCCCTGGGACCCACACCTGGCGGCCCTCAAACCCAGCAACTCCACCTCTAAGGTCCCGGACCTGGTCTCCTTGCCATAAAGAATGCGCTTCACTTCTTTCAAGTCTGCGAGTGGCAAGTACTTCTTTAAGCACTCATCCAGCGACTCCCATTCGGCTCCCGCCATGGCTGGAACTGGCAAGCGTCAGCGCCGACCCCAGCTGCCTGCTCCTGTTCCCCTGGAGAAGGCTGTGGCCAGGCCAGCGCACTGGTCCTCCCCTCTATTTGTTTACCAGAGCCACGTGTGGGCACGCCCCCTCCCTGCCCCTCCCTGGCAAGCAGCCAATCAGCACTCCAGGACTTTGTGAGCCCCTCCTCTTGCTCTTCGCACCTCTTTCAACACGCGCTAGGACACGCCCCTTCCCCCGTCTTTTCCGGCACAAGGCCAATCTGAGCTCCGGAGATTCGCCAGTGGAACCGCCCTTTGCCCTTTGCACCTCCCTCAACACGTCTTTTCCTCCCGCCTCCCCGCAGGCGCAGCACAGGTGCTGGGGGCTGTCCTCTTGCTCTGCACTATACCAGACTTGAGTATCTGTGAGCTTGGTATCCTAGGGGGTCCTGGAAGCAACCTTCCAAAGATACCTTGTAAACACAGCAGATTTAAATGATGAGACCTGGAAAAGTATACTGTGCTGCAGAACCCAGGGGAAGAGGTAATTTCCAGCCTAGAAAGAGAAATCACTGAAGGCCTCATGGAAGAAGCTTCACTGCTCAATCAAAACGCCTCCAGCTGAACTTGAACCCCTTCTCTCTGGTCTGATTTTATTTTCTGTACTGCAGGCCTCATTTCATTAATGGCGTTACAGTTCACTCATGTGTCAAGACTTTGGGAGTCATCCTGAAACGCCTTCATTTTCTTTCTTTCCTTCCTCCGTACAATCAGGAAAGGATCTCTGTACTTTTCTACCTGCAGGACTTCTGCACTTATTAAAGGATTAGTGAAGGAGTTGATTTTTAGGGGAGCAAGGACAAATTCGTTAAAGTGGTGACGTCCGAGCTGGATTTTGAAGCAGGATTAGAAAATATTGCTAGCTAGATTGCTGAATCTATCTTTCCATCAGTGACAGTTTATTCATGTGAGGTCATTATAAAACAGTTTCACAAATATAAAACACTAACCTGACAAAGATAAAAAGTTGTGTTAAATTTTTTTTAATATGTGCTTAGTTCAGTTTTTTGTTTGTTTGTTTGTTTTTGAGACAGAGTCTCACTATGTAATCCAGACTGGCTTTGAACTCATTTATGTAGCTAGCCCAGGCTGGCCTCAAACTCACAGGTGATCCTCTTGCCTCAGCCTCCTCACTACTGGGACTGCAGGTGTGCTCCACCATACTCGGTTTAGTTAGTTTATTTATTTATTTATAACAATAGCAGGAGGTTTTCTTCCATAAAGCCTTGATAAGATATTTTAATAAGGAGAAAACAAAACAAAAACAAGTCTTAGTCTCATGTCGCTGTCCACAGATACTCAATGTTCATTAGGGAGATTGGTCTATAGTTCTCTTTCTTGGTTGAGTTTTTCTCTGGTTTTGGTATCAGGGTAATACTTGCCTTCAGAAATAAGTAAGGAGAATTGTTTCCTTTTCAATTTCATTGAAGAGTTTGAGGAGTATTGGTGTTAAAACTTCTCTAAATTTCTTGTAGAATTCTGCTGTGAGTCCATCAGGACCTGGGCTTTTCTTTGTTAGTAAGTTTTAATTCCATTTTCAATTTCATTAACTGATGTTAGGTTATTCAGAATTTTTATATCTTCTTAATTCAGTTTTGGTAATTCATACGTATCTAGGAATCTGCCCAATTCTGTGTTTTCCATCCTGAGAGTAAAGATTTTCAAAGTAGATGTTGAAGATCTGAATTTCTACAGGATCTGTAGTGATTTCACCCTTTTCATTCCTTATTGCATGCATTTGAGTTTTTCTTTTTTTTTTTTTTTTTGATAAGGTTGGCTAGGGGTTTATCAATTTTATTTATTCTTTCAAAGAACCAACTCTTCCATTAATTCTTTGCATTGTTTTCCTTGTCTCAATTGCATTAATTTCTGCTGATCTTTATAATTTCTTCCCTTCTTTGGCTTTGGGTTTGACTTGCTTTTCTTTTTCTACAAGCTTGAGGTGCAGCGTTAGGTTATTTATTCTCGTTCTGTTTTCCTGATGTGAGGGTTCACCACTATAAACTTCCTTCTGAGGACTGCTTTCATTGCATACCATAGATTCTGGTAAGTTGTATTTGCATTTTTGTTTGATTGTACATATTGTTTAATTTCTTCTTTACTTTCATCTGTGACCCATTGGTTGTTCAGAAGGGTGTTACTTAATTTACATGTGTTTATGGAATTTTTGTGGTTTCTTTTGTCATTAATTTCCAATTTCATTGCACTATGGTCAGATACTATGCATAGGATAGCAAAAATCCCCATTAAAATACTAGCAAAGAGAATGCAGCAAATCATCAAGAAAGTCATACACCATGACCAAGTGGGATTCATCCAGGGATGTAGGGATGGTTCAACATATGTAAATCAATAAATGTAATATACCATATCAACAGAGCCAAAAATAAAACCACATTTTTTTTTGTCTTTTGGAGACAGGGTCTTGCTATGCAGTTCAGGATGAACTTGAGTTCACTTTGTAGCCCAGGCTGGTCTCAAACTTGCAAAGATCCACTTGGCTCAGTCTCCCAAGTGCTGGGATTACAGGCATGCACCACCATACCTGGCCTTGATCATCTCAATAGATGCAGAAAAAGCCTTTGATGAAATTAGAAGAGAATCCATATGACCTTGATGCTTGGAGCATTCTCATTCAAGAGGCACAGGTTTAGTGATATAGGATTACATTTCCTTTTCTGCGGGTCCAATCACGCTACTTGGTTCTGCAGTAAATGATATTTTCATAATCCTAACATTGTTAAAAAAAAAAAAAGCCTTTGACAAAGTCCAACACTCATTCATGATAAAAACCCTACAGAAAATTGGGATAGATGGTCTTATGTTTTCTTTTCTTTTTCTTTTTTGGTACTAGGTATTGAACTCAGGGCCTTGCCCTTGCCAGACAGGCACTTGTACCACTGAGCTACATCCCCAGCCCCTAGTGGTCTTTACTTCAATCTGATAAAAGCCATTTATGACAAACCAACAGCGAAGATCATACTAAATAGACAAAAACTGAAAGCTTTCACTCTAAAATCAGGAACAAGATAAGGATGTCTATTATCACCACTCCTTTTCAGTATGGAAACATAGCTAGAGCAATTAGGTAAGAGAGAGAGAGAAAAGAAATAAGAATAGGAAAAGAAGAAGATACATTGTTATTATATTATTATTATTTATTATTATAAATTATTATTATTTGCAGATAACATGGTACTCATGGAAGACCCCAAAAACTCCACCAAAAGACTCCTAGAATTAATTTAAAACTTCAGTGGTATAGCTGGATACAAAGCCAACACTCAAAAATCAATAGCAGCAGGGCATAGTGGTATACACCTGTAACCCAAGCTCTCAGGAGGCTGAGGCAGGAGGACTGCTGTGAGTTTGAGGCCCACCTGGGCTATAAAGTGAGCTCAAGCTCAGCCTGAACTGCATAGTGAAACCTTGTCTCAAAAAGGAAAAAAAAATTCAATAGCATTCCTGTACACACACAACTCACTGAGAGAGAAGTTAGGGGAACCACACTGTAGTGGATTGATAACTGGTGGTCAACTTATAATCCCCAGCTGAACTGAGTAAGCCTGGTGCTGGGTGTGGGAGGCCCACCTGAGGACTGTTGCCAGCAGTATAAGAGGCAGACCTGGAGAAGAAGAAGGAGGCTGTTGGGAGCTGTGGGGAGCTGTTGGTTGTTTTGGAGGGGCTCGTCATGCTGGCTTTCCTGATGAACTTGGCTGTTTTCATCCTCCAAGGAGCTCGGGACCCCATTGGCACTGAGAATGGCTTTGGTTCACTTTGGGGGAGCTCTGGTCCTCACTTTGAGCATTGCTTCCTGGCTGTGGAGGGGAAGATGGTACACTGCCAGCCTCCTGGAAAAGCTTGCTGCGTTGACTTCCCTGATGGGAACTCGGCCATCTTGATCATTGCAGGAGCTCAGGACCTCACTGTTGCTTAGGATGGCTGGGGTACGTTTTGGGGGAGCTCTGGTTCTTCTGAGCATCGCTTCCTGGCTCCAGTGCAGATCTCTCAGCCTGCTAGCACAGATCCTTAATCCTGCTGGCACAGACTTTCTAGATCCCACCACTGACCTTTGGGCCTTCGTAGTGTGAACCAGGCCTACATGAGATATTATTATGGGCTCTGGGCCTCCAGTTGGATTCATGGGAGGCATTGTTATGAGCTCTAGGTATTCAGCTGGACTCATGTAGGACATTATCATGGGCTCCAGCCCCTCAGCTGCATTCCTTTGTCTCAGTGTGTGGACCAATTTCCTGCACGCTTTTGTATATCATTCTTTGGGTGAGTATTATAAGTAATCTTATAAAATATGTGTCCTGTAATATATATTGTTTCACCTTGCAAAAATAACCCCCAAACCAACACACACACCCTTCACAATAGCATACAAAAAATGAAATCCTTAGGAATCGTCTAGCAAAGGAAGTAAAAGGTCTATACATTGAAAGTTACAATACTCTGAAAAAAAGATCAAAGAGGATTTCAGAAAATGGAAAGATATTGCTTGCTCATGGATAGGAAGAACCAATATTGTGAAAATGACCATATTCCCAAAACTGTTATACAGATTTAATGCAACCTCATTTAAAATCCCATTAACATACCTCACAGATGTAGAGAGAACAGTCCTGAAATTCATTTGGAACAAGAAAAAACTTAGAATAGCAAAGGCAATCTGGGCCAACAAAGGCAAGACAGGAGGCATCACAATCCCTGACTTAAAATTATACTACAAAGCTACTGTAATAAAATCAGCATGGAACTGGCAAAAAACAGACCTGAAGATCAATGGAACAGATTAGAAGATACAGACACAACTGCAAACACACTCAGCCACCTTATCTCTGACAGAAGGGCCAAACATGTTCACTGGAAGAAAGATAGCTTCTTTAATAAATAGTGCTGGAAAAACTGGCTTTCCATATGCTGAAAACTAAAACTATACCCATGTCAATTACCATGCACCAAACTAAAGTCAAAATGGATTAAAGATCTAGATATTAAAACAGAAACACTGAATCTACTGGAAGAGAAGAA